TTATTATGGCAGGATGCTAGCTGTGGCGTGCCATTTCCAGGAGAAGATTAGTGATTTTTCTATTGAAACACATTGTTAAAGGTGTTACGTGGCACTAAAACAGCACTTGCATAGAAACATTTTGAATTTAGACCTAGACTTCCAGAATGTTCCTTTATTTTGTGTCACGTTGTGGGGAATGTTTAGGACCCAAATATGCAGATTACCCAGGATGACTCGAGGCAGAAGTTAGTAAAAGTAAAAATCCTTTATTTTAGGAAGAACAAAAAATAAATCCAGAAAATGGCAACGGGCCAAAGTCCAAAAGTCCTGGAGAACAGGACATCAAAAAGCTCTCTCAGAGCACCAAAACCTGAAGACCAAAAGCTCTCTCAGAGCACCAAAACCTGAAGACCAAAAGCTCACGAAGAGCACGAAGACCTGGAGACAAAAGCTCAACCAGAGCACGAACAAATGCTGAAAACATACAACAATGACCCGACCAGACACAGACAAGACAGCGCTTATATACACAGGGAGAAGTGATTAGGGAAAATGGCGGCAGGTGTGTGAAGTGAGAGCTGGAGGGAAGACAGGTGAACCTAATAATCAAAATGGGCAAACAGAAACAGAGGAGGGCCGAATAAACCTAAAAAACTCTAAAACCGAAAAACTAAACCTAAAGGCTGCAGGAAGGATTAACACACCATCACACCATCACACACACAAATGCACTAATATAAACAGGAATGGGGAATGGACAAGCACACACACACACAGAACTACACACACACACACACACACAACTACACACACACCCACACACAAACACTGAGCAGGAGACTGACACACACACGTCGAGCTGGGGACAAAGAAGCTGGGGACTACAAGGACACAGAATGTAAATGAGACCTGGAGGACCTGGGGATGAATGAGATGACGCAGGACCTGGGAGGAATAGACTTAAAGGACTACCAACATAAAGGTTGGTTTATGCTTGACGCGTCCGCGAGGTCCGCACAGCTCCGTGCGGAAAAGTTGCGTCATTTTGCGTCATTTTAACAACCACGCCCCACCACCGCGTCTCTGCACGGCCCAAGATTTCCGCAACGCGCACCTCAGAAAATTTCTAACCACGCGGACGGTCGGACGCGGAAAAACATGGCGGACCGGCAAGAAATAGTATGGCAGAGGTTCGTAAGTACAAACATTTGTATGCTTCAGCTCTCAGAGATCACTGTGATCAACATGTTGTTAATAATTCTTGGAGAGAAATAGCTCGCACTGTCGGAAAAGATGAGGACGCTGTTAAAAATGCTGAAATGCCATGTTGTAAACAGTCATTTCTACTTCTACTATGGTGTAGTGTTGGATGCATGCCGTAGAGCTCCATGCTGCCCCGTTCAGTTTGGGAGAATATTGGCTCACCGCAGAGACGAGCCGCATGAACCATAAACACTGCGAGTTGTGAAGCGCGTTCCATCCGCGAGCCGCATCACCGCGCGGAAAGTGAACGCGTAAAGCATAAACCAAGCTTCAGACACATAATGGATGCAGACAAAGGACACATGAGAGCGCTATGAGACACAAAAGGGGACTCTAAAGAGGGATGGAGGACATAAGGAGACACATGGGGAAGACACAGACCATGACAATTTTGGCTGTGCTCCAACTAGCCATTAGCTTCTCAATCCAGTCAGAAATAATCTGCTTCTTCAAAATGAACTTGTTTACAAACTACAACAGCCAATTTCTCTGTCTGTTCAATCACGTCACTTCAGAACTCCAAACCTTTGTTTTACACTCATGTCTGTTTTGTCTCTCTCTCTCTCTCTCTCTCTCTCTCTCTCTCTCTCTCTCTCTCTCTCTCTCTCTCTCTCTCTCTCTCTCTCTCTCTCTCTCTCTCTCTCTCTCTCTCTCTCTCTCTCTCACACACACACACACACACACGAGTGCCCTGCAGACTGAGCTGACGGCTGACCTGAACTGACCTGAATGTAGTTTTAAATTAAGTCCAACTATAAACGCTCTTGTCTCTGCTGTAACACCGCTGGTGTGAGGACTGAACACACATGGTGTCATTCCTGAATCGGCCTCTCCCACACACTTATTCTCTGACCAGGCCCTTACTGGTCACGTGGTACGTAGTGGAGCACAAACTATCTTTGTTCCCACATCAATGACAGCTTAAAACTCGCCTCTTTGTTCTAAAGAGGGTTACCCATAACCTGATCAAACAGCAGCTTCAGCTGCCACAGGCGGTCTTTAGAGCTTCAAGCACAAAAAATAATGAATCAGCCTCTTCAATGGCTCAACTAAAAAGGAGTGTAGACTTGAATTTTCTAAAATCCCTCAGATTATGTTTTTAAATCAAGATTTTCCTCTTCCAATTTGATTGTTTCATATTTCTGACTCCACCAAGCACCTTCAGCTCTCAGAGTTTCATTTTTCACCAGAAATCAGCCAAACCATCAGGAAATGATGCCGTAAATCTGACTCAGTCTGCTGCTGTGCTCCTGGG